GGGTGTATGGAGGATTACCGGCTCTACGGGGGTGTTGCCTGAATGAAGCACACACTCACACTCACACTCACACATATGTAACAGCAGCTGCTGCCTGCCACGCATGGCGTATACGTGATGCGTCAAAAGCATATCTACTCAAACCCGCAATTGTTGCCTGCCTGCCTTCTGCCTGCCCTCTGCCAGCTTGCTGCCTACTAATTTGAGTGTCAATCGCAAGGATGCGGCAAGGACATGTCTCAAGATCAGATAATCGAATCGATGGGAATCAAATATGAGGCAATATCAAGCTGAAGCCGCGATCGTCGCGCCAGATTAGAATGCGATACGTCCAAAGCACAAAAGATACAAAGATACAACATACACACACACACACACACTCGCTCACACACACTGCATTTGACAGCCAAAAGGACATTTGAAAGCCAACTCAATGGGGTGAATGCTGCGATTAGAAACTCAGCCCACAGCTCGGGGCAAAAGGAACCAAAAAGGGTTCTTTGCCCGCTGCTATCTACCCTATACTGCCCCGCCCTCTGCCCTCTGCCCCCCTCCTCGGCCATACAAGACAAATTGGCGAATGGTCGCCGCAGCTCAGATCTCAGTTACTTCACATCTTCAATCTGCAATCTTAAAGCTGTTTTTTTTTTGTTTTTTCCTCTTCTTTGCAAGTGAACAAACATTAGAAAAAAAAAGGGCAGCCAAATCCTCGCGTATAATTAAAAAATTCCATGGCACAATTTCTAACAGAGGGGGGGAGGAGGGAGGGAGGGAGGCAGGGAGGGTGGTTGGTTGGTTGGTTGACGAGCTGACGGAAATGTGAGAAACTTGTTTAACAATTTGAACAGCCCAAAGGAAATGGAGAAAACGCAAGAGGAGGGTACCAAAAAGTATCTAAGGCTCAACGCCAACTCAGGCGACGAAACCTGATTACACTCGCACACACACACACACACATACAGAGAGAGAAACGGCAATAGGATCGTGGCAGTGGCAACCCTTTTCTAAGCAGCCTCCTGAGCAATGCCGCGGCATGTTTTCTTTGGCGGATTAAGCGGAAGAGGCTACAGCAAAAGATTTCGAGCTGCTGCCTTTGCCTTTGCCTAATCTTGTGTGTGTGTGTGTGTGAGTGTGTGTGTGTGCGTGTGAGCTGCTTTTGCCTTTCTGTGTGCTTCTTTTGGTTTCTATTAGAAATTAGTAAATTATTTTGTTCCCCCTTTTATTTGTTGTATGCTGCCCTGCCTTGCCCTGCGCTGCTTCTGAGTATATCTATGTGCAGCTGACGTCGAACTTGACGACGTCGGCGTCGACGTTGACGTTGACGCGCAGCTTAGCCGTTGTCGCAACAAGCGGCTTAACAAGCGTGAATATTGCGTATGCGTCAGGGCGTACGCATACAAAAGCTTCGGCCATAAAAGCTTTCAAGCGCCGATCGCTTTATGAGCAAAAGCTTCGGCTACTGAGCTATTGATGAAAGATAAGTAGATCACGGATCGTTGAAAGCTTCTCACTTGAACATGAGAATATCGCTGATCGTGAAGAGGAAAAGCTTTATCAGAGATCTTTAAAAGCTCTCCCCCCAATTCAGAGTTAGACTAAGCTTTTGATCGGAAAGATAGTATGCTTTGTCAGATATCTTTAAAAGCTGTTCCTCTGTTTCAGATCTATATTAAGAATCTGATTAGAAAGATATTATGTAATATGGAAGATAGACTGACAATCTCTCAAAGGAAAAGCTATTTCAGAGATCTTTTAAAGCTCTTTCCCTAATTCAGTTGGATTTACATTAAACATTTGATTAGAAAGATATCATGTTATATCGAAGATAGAGTGTAAATCTCTAAAGGAGAGCTTTATCAGAGATCGTTAGAAGCTCATCCCCTAATTCAGTTAGATTTATATTCAACATTATATCGATGAAAGATCGCTTAAAGCTTTACAATAAATGATCACTTGTTTAAAGGAAGTAGGTCATAGATTCTTTTAAGTCTCTCATAAGGAATATATGTTTGTTGCGAGACAGTTTCTCTTCAAAAGGTTCATCTAAAAAGAGAAGCTTTAAAATCTTTTCACAATGCAGTCACTTGATTAGAAATTAACCAAGGATTAACAAAACAGGAAGCAGACATAGACCTTTAAAAGAGTTCATTTATGCTAATCAAACAGAAAGAAAGATCATGTAAATGAACTGTAATATGATAACAGGTATATCTGTTGATATGATTAGAAAGTGACCATGGAGTAAGCGCTATGAATGCAAGTAATTTCTTTTCGATTCGGAAAGCGAACGTCAATCAAAAACTAAAGCTAATGGAACTGTGATCATTTAATTGAAAAATGATCGCAGCTCGGCTACAAAGGAATCGTAAGCATCAAAGCTGAAACTACTCAAAAGGAGATGCATGTGTGTGGACCCTAACTCGATGCTCTTGGCCAGTTTTGACAAGCAGATAAATGTACATACACGCATTGTGTGTGTGTGTGTGTGCGAATGTATTGCTTAGCTGTTGCTGTTGCTGTTGGGGAGGCTACCCGGAGGCGATACGATCTTTGCCGAGATGGCCTGGCCGTGTCACACGCACTGTGACAGATCCTGGCGCATTGTGTGTGCCCATCGAGGGGTGTTGCCGCCTTGTGAGGAGGCACTCAACGTTGCCTCTGGGCACAGGTAGCAGCGGGCCAGCGGGCTAGCGGGTTAGCGGGTAAGCGCGTTAGCTGGTTGCAGCTAGTTGCTCTTTAGCTGGTAGATCCTAGCGCCGCTGCCGCTGCCGCTGCCATGTGACAATGATAATAGCTGCTCGCTACTCTGCTCTGATCTGATCTGGCTCAGTGTTTACTTACACCACTTGAGCTTAACTCGGCGGCGCGGCCGGAAGTTGATGAGGGTCGAATTCGCTTGAGTTGGGTTTTTTTTTTCTTTCTTCGTTTTTCCTTTTCTACTTCTTGTTTTGGGTTTTGGTTTGTGAGCATCTCTCAGGGCTCGCCTTTTGGGTCTGAGAGCTTTTTTTGAACTTTGTTTTTTTTTTTGTTTTTTGGATTTGTTTTTTTTTTTTTTTGATATGCCCAATTTATCACAGGAAATTAGCTGCTATTTAGCAACGTTGTATGCTCAAAAGAGGGCCAGGGCATGCCGAGGCTTGCCAGGAAGCGGAAGGTAGGCGGCCAGGCCAAATAGTTGCCGCAGCAGCCTCTCAGGCAGCGGGTGTGCCACACACGCACACGCACACACACACACACACGCACACACAAAGGCAAGTTTCTTGTTATTTGGCGTGATAATTTGTGCAATTGCGGATTGCTAGCTACGATGAGCTGCTCCTGCTGCTGCTGCTGCTGCTGCGTTCCCCCTCCTCTCTCCCCCCACAGCCCCTTTTTGGCCCTACTGGTTTGCTAGAGCAAAGGGGGCTTTAGGGTTATGGCTGAGACAACAGACGACACTGACAGCGCGTGAGTGAGGCGTAGCTTAAATGTTATGGCGCCATTTTGAAAAGCTTCCTGAGCTGTGTCTTCTATGTATGCGAGTGTGTGTGTGTGAGTGTGTGTGTGTGTGTGTACTGATACAGGCAATCGAACTAATTGACATGGGCGCGCGTTTTTTGGGCCCGCTCTCGAATGATCGCATTGAGTAGATCCCCACAAAAAAGGAAAGTTATGAATGGACATGAATCAAGTATAATTTAAACGAGAAAGAAGGCACACCGAAGATTTAATACCCTTGCAGACCGAAGCAGAGGAATAATGGCTAATGCGGAGCATGGTCAAAATATCTTGATAAACAAAAAAGTTTTTCATACATGAACCTCATTTTCGACCGATCGTTCCTATATGCTATATATATAGCTATATGATAAGCAGTCCGATCCAGCTACTCGACTTTTGAATATAAATAGTTTTTATGGGGTCGGAGATGTCTCCTTCTCTGCAAGGATATGATAATATACAGAATTCGCTCGCAAATTGAAACTTTTCAGTTTCAGAATTGATTCCAATTTGTACAAATCGCTTTCCCTAAATGTGAATGAAAATTCAGTATACGTTTAAAAAGAATTAAAATCAAAGCAAAATTTCACATTTAAGGTTTTTCGGGACAGCAAAACTTCCTGAATTACTGAAATACTGTACTTTGAACTATCGCAAAGCCCAAATAGATGAAATGTGAATCTAAAATTTTCAAATTTGTTACCGAGTTTTGAACGTACTGAAAGAATTAAAGTATAATAGGCCGCAGGGCCTTGATTGAGTTCCTCTGTTTCTACGTTAAATATATGTTAGATGGGCCTTTTTTCATAATTTGTCAGCGAGTTTTGCGAGTTTAAAGAGCATACATTTTTAATAGGCCTCAGGGATTGAGTTCCTTTGTTTTCTCTGCTAAATATATGCTATTCTGATCGTCTTCTTTCTGCCATGTAGTCAGAAACAAACGAAGGAAAGTTGAGTTCTGGCTGTTGTCGGTCAAACTCTGCAATTGCACAGCATTAAAGAAGGACAATAGCTGCTCAAAAACGGACAACTAGCGCTTATAGGCAAATATTACCTTCATTATGAAACCTATTAAACCCTAGACAAATGCTCCGTGAAACGCGAAAAACACACAGTGAAAATAAAGGACGATATCAAAAGAAACAGTTCAAGTTACAAAATTGAAGAGCTTGAGAGCTGTAATTCCTTATAGACACGCAGATATATTCAAAGCTACAAAGCTGCACAACAACTACAAGGGGTAGGGGGTAGGTGGTGGTTTAAGGGGGTGGGGGCATTATACTAAAGACTCTACTGGAAGCTTATACACAAGCAACTACATATGTATGTATGTATATCGAAAGGAGAGAAACGACACATGAGAAAAAAATTACAGAAGGGCGTAGAAAATTGTTAATTGTGTGGGTTGGGGGGGTTTTTTTTTCTTTTTGGGGGGGGGGGGGGGTGGTTGTTTTGGGAGTTGTTTCTCGCGTTTTATTATTAGATGTAGAAGTAGAGGGGAAATTGTTTTGGATAAATACCTTGAGGTGCCAGCACCTTCCAATTGCTGCCGATCCAATGGCGGATCGAAGATTTGCTCGCGATCCTCTTTCGATAATTCCAAATCGGCGAATTGATCCAGCTCGGAAGCCATCTTTAAAAACTGTATCTACTGCTTCTGCTTTTCGTTTTTTCTTCTTCTTCTAATTGTTGCGGCGGCGCGTTTGAGCACTTTTTAATTGGTTGCTTGCTTTAATTTGATTTTCTTTTGTATTTGACTTTTCTCTGGGGTCGGTTAGGGGGTGTTACTTTAGCAGGGGGGTCGTCTTGTTTAGGAGTTTCGACAAAAAAAATATATATACGTATATATAGTATAATAGCAATTATCTCGTTGTTGTTAATCTGGCAACTCTGAAGTCACGTTTCGCCTTAGAAAACACTTGAAATTTTTGGATTTAGTTTGGGTGTTTGTTTTTTGGATATTTATGTATTCCGGCAAAAGTTTTCGCAGCTTAATTTTGGGTCGTGGAATGCTTCAAAAGGACGTTTCTCTGTTTGAATTTTGGCGCTTAGTTTTTGCATTGACTCATGTCCTTGTTCGTATGGTTTTTTTTTTCTTCTTTTTTGATTTGTTTCGTCGTTTGGGATTTTTCTTGTTTGGTTATCCAACAAATTTTGTTGTATAATTTTTTTACTCGAGAAAAATTGTCGTTAACAGTTGTTTAATTTAGTTATTGTTGTTGCATCTTTTTTAATTATCTTCTTTTGTTTTGCGCGCTCGATTTGGTTTTTTTTTTTTTTTTTTTTGAAACCTTTTTGTGTTTTTTGAAAGTTTTTTTTTGGGATTATTTTTGATGTCTTTTCAGTGAATTTCGAAGAAAAACGGTTGATGTTCAAATGTTGTCCGAATCGAAAAAAAAAAACAGTGTTAAATGCGTCAATTTGGCCAAATTAGGTGAAAACCTGCAACGTAGGAAGAAAGTGAACATTAGTAAAATTTGAGATGCGGAAAATGCACTATGCTACATTTAACAGTTACACTAACAAATGTTGATATCTATTTTAAATAATCTGTGTGTTAATGATCATCATATAAAAATGGCAGACAAGCTGGCAAGGCCAGCCATACACTCACACACACGCACACAAGTTGCGTCTGAATGCATACAAGTGCGATTGGAAAAAAATAAAAGAAAACAATGGCCGCTTCGTAAAAGTTCAACGTTGAACCCATTTGACCGCCCCCTACTCCTAGCGCCATTTGCAACTAGCGTGCGAATGAGTGAGAGTGAGTGCCGTTGAAGAGCGCAACAGCTGTTACAGCAATCAGCGATCACAGTTAGGCAGGCAGGCCGGAGAGGAGAGGCCGGCCGGCCGGCAAGCAAGCAACACGTTGCGACATGTTGCTAACCAAGCAGCGAGCAGAGCGACCTGCAAAGCTTTTTGGCATTGCTTTAATCATCTGGCGCTGGCAGCGACGCCAATGAGTGGGCGCACGCTTCCGTCGACGCGTGAGCGGGTGCCGCATTCGCATTAGAAGAGATTTAAGCAGTGCGTGAACAGAGAAAGAGAGAAACAGAAAGAGAGAGAGAGCTTTGCTGCTGCTGCCGTCGTTTTCGTCATGTTGACTTTGATCTTGGGCCGTGTATTTGTGTGCGTGCGTTGGTGTTGCTTTTTTGGCAATTGTTTTTGTTGTTGGCATTTTTTGTTTGTGTGGTGAATAAGTAGGCGCAAAGCAAAATCACGAAAGAAGAAGAAACCAAAAAAAAAAATACAATTTACTTCACAAAACGAATACCCAAATATAGTAAAAATACGTGTTCTAATTTGTTTGTTTGCTGTAAATTGCGATTAGACGCATACTGATTTATTTTTAACTGATTTTTGCTTACTTCGCTGATTGCAGTTGTTGTTTTTTTTTTTTTTGGTTCCCGCCAGCTGCTATGTTTGTTGTAATTTTTGCGCAGATGATGTCAGAGCTCGTTTAATAACTTTTGTGTTTGTTATTTCTGCGTTGACTTTGTATTTTGCATTTGTTTTTGACTTTGCAGCGAGCGTATGCTTTAATAAACATGCGGTTTCTTTTAGAGAAATTATGTAAAAAAAAAAACAACGTGTATTTAATTTGTTTTATTTGCTTCAGATTGTTTGTCACTTGTTCTTGCTTTTGCTTTTGGCAGGCACTGACTGAAAAACAGTAAAACAGCAACAAAAAAAAAATAGCGCAAAAATCTGAAAGAAGACAACACAAGTTGTAAAGTTGTGAGCTGTGTAAAAAAGGCACACAATACACAAAGTGCGGGGCGGCAAACACGCGCACGCACACACACACACACGCACAAAATATGCCACGAAAAATAGCAGCAGCAGCAACGACATCAAAAAAGCAAAAGCTGCTGCCCCGCCCTCTCCTATGCTGCCCAGCCCGTCCACTATCCCCGCTGTCCCCGCCAACACGACAACTATTAATTCAATGTTGTGCTTGTTGTTGTTGTTGCTGCTGCTGCTGCTAATTATTAAACGTAACAGCAAGTACAAGTTTAACGGTAATCATATTTCTTTTACAGCTCTGCTAAGGCCATAGTTTTTGGCAAATTGTAATAAGCATTGCTGTGCATTAGTATGCAAGCATTTGCATGTGTATGGGTATGTGTGTGTGTCTGTCTGTGTGTGTTATTGGCTTTGAATGATTTTGCTTCTCTATTTTATGTTCGGTTATGATTTTTTTTCGTTTGATTTGAACGTTTTGTGCGCGCTCTTTATTTTATTTCGTTTTATTTCATTTTTTCTTCTTTTGCTTGCTTACGTTTAGGAACGAACGAACGAACGAGTGTAGAAGAAACAACAGCAGATCAAGATCACTTTGCGGTTTCTCGAAAATTGAAAATAAAAACTATTTACGAACAAACACAACAGAGGAAAAAAAAACAATGAACGACGGCGGCGACGGACACGTTAATGCATATTTCAACTTTTATTTGCGTTTCTTTCTTTTTTTTATGCTTTGCCTTAATGCCGAAAATATTCTGCCAATAATGCTTTTTTGACGACCTTCTTTCTGCTGCGGCGTTCCAAATACAAATGACGGAAAGGAATTGGGCTTCCAAATACTAAAATGACCGACCGACGTGCATGCGGCATTCTGGCGGTAGCCGCAGCGGCGACGGCGACGGCGACTGCGACATCAGCAGCAGCAACAGCAGCAGAGCCCAGAGAGTGTGAGAGGGAAAGAGAGCGACAGAGAAAAAGAGCTCAACGCGCTAGCTAGCGCTGCCTAACAGAGCACAGAGTGCGTAACATTTATCACTTAACAGTTCCACTCAAGTATTTTTGGGCCGCCAACGCTCTGCCGCCTTAGCCGAAATTCCTATGCTTATTATACACACACACAAACAAACACATACATATTCACAAAGCGAGAGCAGAAGTCGTACTGGCAGCGGCAGCGGCAACGGCAGCGACAGCATCGACCGCGACCGCAGCCAAGCGAAAGACAGCACACACAAAAGCAATATGCGATGTTTTCGTGTTGCCCCTCACTGTGCTGGTGTGCGGTTGTGTGTGTGTGTGTGTTCGCCGCTTTTGCCGAAATTTAATGAGTGAGTGTGGAATGAGAGAATGAGCGCCGCCAATTCAGCAAACCGAGTGACTCAAAAACTCAACTCAAATTCTTGAACGCAAGACTGATAAAAAGCAAAAGTTCGAATTAAATAGTTAGAATAAAACAACATACATATGTATGTACATGTAAGTATGTGATGTATGTATAAATGCACATATGGAAAATTTCAAATTTCAAAAACCCATCATCAGCGACATTTTGTTAAGAAGATCGGCCCCAAAGTCGAGCGCAAAGTTCAAACTCAGACCGCGACTTAGAACTCTGACTCAGACTCAAGACTGTTGACGCTGAGTTGGATTCGGGACTCGGAGCCGAATTGTGACTCAAAAAACGGGGCGCGCAACCTGGAACTGGAACCGGGAGCTTTGGCCACGTTCACAGCCGTATTGGGAATAGAGTGTGACTCTGTTGTGTGTGTGTGTGTGTGTGTGTTTGTATGAGTAAGCAGATGCCAGGATAATGTTGCGCTGCGTCGCTGTCGACGTTGGCGTTGCCAAAAATTGAATGCGGCGGCGACGACGACGACGACGACGATGGCGGCGCTTAAGCGCTTAAAGGAAGAAGGAAGCAGAAAAGGAAGTGAACTGCGAACACTCTGCTCCGGGCTGTTAGCACCGAAGGCAAATTGAAGCTCAAATATATGTATGTATGTACGTATGTACAAGATATATGTACATATGTATGTACATATGTATGTGTCGGCGATGTGCAAACAGCAAATGAGATAAAATGAAGTATGCCCCTGGACGAGTGTACTCGAAGGCGAGATATCCCCAAAAATACGTTGCATACGCGAGTGTTAATTCAAATCGAAGGATAACGAATGGAAAGCTATTAGATGGGAAATCTACAGGCTCAAAGGCCAAGTTGCAGCAAATGAAGTATACGCGCTGATACACACTGCTTGAGATGGCAACAGGGTATCCATCGACAAATCCATGTGAGTCCTGAAGACAGCTCAGCAGCAGCAGCAGCAGCAGCAGCAGTCGCAACCTCAAGAGATTATCTACGCACACACACACACACACACACGCACGCACGCACATTTATATTAATTGATGAGTTATTGAATTGTTTGTCCTAGCTGCAGGCATTGCAGTAAAAATAACAACAACAACCAATATTGACAAGTTAAGCAACTAAAACTGTATTTAATTAAGCTCAAGCTAGCTGCAAAGAGATCCTTCGAGCATTTCAAAAACTCACAGCAGCAAAAGTTTTGTTCCAATTAGCCACAGCTTTTAGTTAACTGAATATTGTTTGGCAAGGTATAGAAATATATGTAGCTACAATTAAGTTTTAACTAAACTATCTTACTAGTAAATAAATATGTAATTGTTTTGTATTATTTGTTGAAAAAAGCAGCAGACGAAAATAAAGTTAATAGAGCTTTAAGGCTTAGAGCAGATGTTCGCAATGCTTGAGGAATAACACGAATTCGATAGATAAAGTTTTTCTAGCTAACTAAATCGAAATCTAAGCAACTAAATCTAAATGCATTCACGCACAGAAAAGGCAGCTCCCAAACTGAGTATTTCATAAACTAACCCGTCTGGGCTTAAATTTGTTGAAAGCAAGACTCATGCGAGTCATACGAGAGTGAAAGCAAGGACAAAAGTCCTTAGAGATGCAAATTGACGCTCTTCTTAAGTAGTTGATGTATCTACATAAGATTGGGATGTTGTTATAATCATTACCCCTTTACTTGGACTATCTATGTACATACATACATATATAAGACAAGCAGCTGGCATATTCCTATTATCTATCTATCTCTTCCCTGTGAAATATTAGATATATAAAAAACCATACGAAGCCATAAGAAAACCAACTCACAAACAACTCAAAAATCAATTTCAAATGATTTGCCTAAGAAAATGCATTAAATTTCAAGAGCAGTTGTTTTATTCCCTATAAATGAAATCGCGCTGCGAAATAGTTTTGTTGAACAATACGAAATAGTTCAGATAGTTTGAAATATTAGAAACCAATTCAGATTTCAGTTTATTTGTATCTATTAGAATGCAACTAGTTTTCTTCTTATGGAATACTAGAATATGAATTGCGTATTTAGATTCATAAAAATTTAAAGTTGAATTAACTAAATTATTACTCTTAAGTATAAATATAAATAGAATATAGATTGATTTTCTTAGAATAATAAGCATTAAATTTTTGTATTTAACAGAAACTATTTAAATCAAGATATATGCATATTAATATTGATCAAATTAGGTGGAAAGAAGTCCAATTTTCTTGGCAAATAAAGTATTTGCTTAAAGTATTTTGTACATTTACAAGAAGAAAACTAGTTGCTTGGCTGGAAAATACGTATGAAAAG